CTCGAACCCACAGGCTCAGGCAATCCACTCACCTCAGCCTCCCAAAGTGCGGGATTACAGGCTGAGCCACCGAGCCTGGCTAATTCCTGTGGTTCTTAACCTCTTTGAGTCCTTGATGTTTTTAAGGCCCTGGAAGAGCTACACACCTTCTTCCCAGACAAGTGCACCAACACACACGATCTCACAAGGAATTTCAAAGTGTTCCCAGAGCCCCTAAAACCCATCTACAGACTTCAAGTTCAGAATCTCTTCTCCAGTGTGATACCACCCCTTCTCCTGCTGTGGCTTGCTACAGGCTGGGAATACGGAAACAGGGACCCAGGGCCATGTGTGGCAATTCGTGGTGGGCTAAAGGATTGTGGCTGCTGATGCCACTTCTTCCGAATGCCTCTCTTTTGCATCTAAGATTTGAGGGATGTCTCTCCAACTTGTCATTTGCCGGAGAGGTCGTTTGCGGGAGGCCTCATTCAGCGCAAATGAGCCTGAACTGTGGTCAAGGGTGCAGGCAGGATGCCTGGCAACTGCCTAGAAGGAACAGAGAATAATCTCCTTCCCTTTAGGAGCAGTGTAATCTGAGAAGAGCCTGGGGCGGCAGATCAAGTTATGGGTTTACTTTCTGGTCCTCAGTCTGCTGTGACCTTGGGCCCAACAGATAACTTCTCTGAGTTGTGGCCCCTCATTTCCCAAAGAGGGATCTGAGGGTACTGAGCAGAACAAATGCTATGAAGTGTGTGAAATTGTGTTGGCAGTGCCAATCAAGACACATTCTCGCGGAAATCTTAATAAGAAACAGAAGAATCTGCCCTACTTTGGATCTGGCCAGACTAGGGGCAGGGTCGTGGCACCCTTTCTCAGGCCCAGCCCAAGGATTTTTTTGGGTTCTGTCTACCTGGCCAGGGTTCAGTCTGGATTAAAAGCTCACTGCACGTTCAGAAACAGTCTGGAGTGGGTGCCTGTGCAGGATAAAGGGAGTCTGGTTTGGGTGGAAGCAGCTGTTCCTTTCCCTTTCCCAGGGCCCCATTTCCCAGACCTTCCCCTTCCCCAAATGTCTCTCCCCGAGTCTTGGGCTCATGCTTGCCCTTGTTAAGGAGCCTTGGAGAAGAAGCGAATTTTTGTAATGGAGAGAGGGCAAGTGCTGGGCTACCGGAAGGTGAGATATCATCCCTTCAGTCCAGCAATTTCTCTTAGTCCCCAAAATTTTAGACTGGATTGTCGGCTGGCTTCATGGAACAACAGAGTAAGGGATCTGTTTTCCTGGGATACACTCAGCTGAGGTGGCCCATCTCTTCGTACTCACCAGCATCCCTGCTTTCCTTTAAAGAAAGGCAGATTGGGTTGCTTTACTCTCACTCAGTACGGCACACCGCCCTTGGGCAGAGCTGTGTCAGTGTTAGCCTGTCCAGCGCCCTGGTGGTGTGGCTTGGGCTCTCTTTTGTCCAGAGTGGCAGGGCTGGCTTTACTCGACACCAGCTAATGCAGAAAGAATTGCCTGTGACCTCGTGTGTTCCCTGCCCCTCAAGAGTATCTGAATAATGGACACACACTTGGAGGCTCCCAGGAGATCTAGACACTGGACACATCTTTCTTACCTGGAGGCAGAAAGATGAGTGGAATGACTTCTAAAGGTCACCTTTTTCCTCACATTCCCCATAAGAAAATCTCTTGAGGCGGACAGGTTGGAAGGCTACCAGACACTGAGTAGCGAAGTCCCCACGCTGAGCCTGCTCTTTGTCTGCCACCTGGAATATGTTTTCTCCAACAAATGTTCTTCCTTTCCGCGCCCACCTTCCTAGGCATGCCAGCCCAAGCTCTGAGATCCTTGTCCCTTTTAGGTCCCAGCATACTGGGTGGCCTTTTTTTCCTGGTGTTCATTTTATTTGCTTCCTAAGAGTGGAGACCCCACCACCACCATTGTCCACAGTATGGTAGTGAAAACCCGCAGGCTCGTGACGTACTATATAAGTCTGTGTGCCGTGAAGATGTGTGTGTGTCTGCCGCCATCATCATGGTGTGTCCTCAGAAAGCTCTTGGATTCCCTGGCTACGGCTATGCAACTGAGGGTTGATTTACCAGCCTTGTTAGTACTGTCATGAGATACGGCACGTTTGCTTTCCATGCGGTTGGATTTCTGGGAGTGATGTCCACAGGGCTTGGCTGTCCCTGGCAGCCTGCCAGGCGGTG